GTCTCACATCCGAAAAAGCCCCCAGGAAGAAAAAATACCTTTATTGAAAATGGCACATTCGTCTTTCTTTCGAGACAAAATGTCTCATGTTTTGCCCAAAGTTCTGAGGTAGTCTCAAAAGACCCACACCTTCAATACCTACTTACGAAATTTTGGGAAATTGAGGACGTCCCTACCCAGAAAATGTTGACCTCCGATGAAGAACTTGCAGAGCAAGACTTCAAAAACAATATTAAAGTTTTAGAGAATGGCTCCTATCAGGTGAACCTACCATTAGTCTCCCCGACGAACCCACCAAATTGGGCGACTCTTTTCAAATAGATTTAAAAATAATCACTCACGCTTTTCTGAATATCAAACATTTATTCAGGAGTAGGTTTCTCTCAATTATGCGCAATATATACCCCCGTCTTTACAAAATGATCGTCTCCTTAACAAATATTTTCTCCCACGTCATTGCGTTATCAGAGAAGCTAGTACTACGACCCGATTACGGGTTGTTTTTGACGCCAGTTGTAACTGTATACTCACTCAACGACATCACTTTAAAAGGTTTTCAAGTCCAACTGAACTTATTCGATATTCTCTGTCGTTTTAGACAATTTGCCTAGGTATTTACTTGAGACATTGAAAAAATGTACAGGTAAATTAAGATTAATCCTGACCAAATCTTTTTACAGAATATTCTTTGGAGGAATAATCCAAATGAACCTCTAACATTTATAGAACTTACTACTGTCACATAGGCCCCATTTCTAAGCCTAATGAAATAGCCTGTACCCGTGGAAAAACAATTTTACAGACGCTTCTGATGCCATTTTGACTCAGACATACGTGGACGACATTCTTTATGGAAAAAGACACGTTGAATGATTTAGAAAAATCATCACGAATTAAATGAACCCTTAAATAGCTTTGGTTTTCACTTCCATAAATGGTGTTCAAACTCCCCAGATTTCTTGGAATATATTTCTAAAACTTCTCAACCTCTTAAACGAGATATAAAAATTGAAAATATCTCTAATAAGGTTTTAGGGTTTTCATGGCAATCTGCTAAGGACATATTTTCAATCTCACTTCCAGAGTCTTTGAATTATGAACCTGTCACAAAAAGAAAATCTCTTTCTATTATAGCCCAGATGTTTGACCCTCTAAGACTCATAGGTCCTGTAATTCTTTTAGGAAAAATGTTCATGCAAAACTTATTGAAAGAAAAACTTAGTTGGGATGAACCACTGCCACAAACACTTGTTGATGGATGGAAAACCTTTATAATAAATATCCTCACTCTTAGACAATTGATTATTCCTCGCCATCTCTTTGTTAAAAAAGGGATCTTCAATACTGAAATACACGGTTTCGTTGACAGCAGCACAAAAGCTTATGCTGCCTGCATTTATTTTCGTACCCTTTATTCCGATAATACAGTCACTTGTAACCTAGTAATTTCTAAGTCTCGTATTTGTTCCATGCGACCTAATTTCACGAATACCTCCATCAAAACTAAAAAACAAGCCTTTATGGAAGGGGCCTCTTGTGGATTCAAAAACCCAACAGGAAAAGGAAATCGTTTAATAATAACCCACATTGGAAGCACCGATGGATTTTTGTCAGATGGTTTATTAATGTTCGAGTCAAAGAAAACAGAAGACTACCATGAAGAAATTGATGGCTCTATGTTTGAAAATTGGTTTCAGAACATTATATAAAAAATTCCAGCCAACTCCGTTATTGTTTTGGATAATGCATCCTATCACAGTCGATTAAAGGAGTCACTACCTACAAGATGGAAAAAAGAAGATATTTCAAAATAGATTTGTTCTAAAAATATTATCAGTCCTCCTAAATCGTTGAAAGCAGAATTACTCGTAATAGCAAGGCAAAATAAAAACAAATTCAAAAAATATATTATATACGAGGTGGTCCAAGAAAAAGGAATTGAAATTCTCAGATTGCCTGCTTACCACTCAGAGTTAAATACCATTAAACTGATCTGGTCACAATTAAAACGTTATGTTTCTCAAAACAATACAACATTTAAAGTACCTGATGTGCCAAATTTGTTTTTGAAGGCCATTTCAGATGTAAATGGAGAACATTGGAGAAAATGCATTGATAATGTTAAAAAGGTGGAAAATTCATTTTGGAAAGTGGATATAGCAATGGAAAATTTAATAACTAATAAACCTCAGAAAAGACAATGATAATGATACCAGTTATAGTGAAGACAGTGACTTTTAAAGATAGTTCTTGAACTTTTCTTTTTAATCTTTAATTTTAGTAACTGAAGTGTTACTTTTAATGCCAAGAGATTAAAAAAAGTTTAATCCCATTAAGAACATATAATCCTTCTTGTTATTTATTGGTTAAATGTAATTCGTACAGCAGCAATTTTGTCAGAAGCATAAGATTTATTTTTATTTTTTCTAAATAATATAACTATTTTTTTCATTCAAAATTTAATCTACAGAGTGAATATCCATTTTATATGCCGTGACCTTATGTACGCCTATGGAATGTGACTTTATATCCCCACTTTTACTGCACTCCTCTTTTATTCAAACTATACATTGAAGAGAAAAATGGAACAATTTTTGGAAGATGATAGAAATGTAATAAGAGGAAAGAATAATAATGGATAACAGAAAGATAAGGATAAAACAGAAATTAGACAATATACAATTCGAACAGTGGAGTAGCGTGGGCCAAACGGCGGAGGGGGCAAAGCTTTTTTGGGGCGCCCACACCTCTGTGAGGGGCGCCATAGGTCGGTCTCTGAATTCGATTTAATCATTAAAAAAAAGACAACATTAAACAAAAACAAGAAAATTGAGTTCCCAGAAAGATAATTAAGAAGGAGCAATCTAATGATGTATGAAATAAAAGAAATGAAGATACGGAAATGCAAAGTCTAACATTACAAGAGGTGTTTGAAACAATAAAAGATAAAACGAATATCAGAAGAATGGGAAAAATAGATGAGAAAATTAATAGAACTTATGAGGAGTAAGAAAATTAAAATTCTAAGAGTTATAAGAAACATCGAAAGTACAAAGTGGGTAACAAGAAAAAGATAATAAAACACATGAAGACAGCCAAACAAGGAAACAGGGCAGCCAATAGTAAAATACAATAAACTAATTATGCATTCCAACGACTTGTCCAAATGGCTACCAGTGGGATCTGACAGTTTAGATATGGCAAATCTGTTAAATTCAGGGTCAATGATACATATATAGTTAAGAGAGTTGATAGTCGTTGCTGACTAGTTAATAATTAAACCAGTAATTAGTGGGGAATGCAACAAATGAAAGAGTACTTTTTTAAGTTTATTCCAAGCTTTCGGAAATGTTTATTTCCATCATCAGGGAGACTAAAATAAAATAATACCACATATTATGATAAAGTAAGGTAAAACAATTTTTTTGTCATCACTTACATCTTAATTAAGGTTGTTCATTTTGGTGGTATTATTAAGTTTAGTGTAAAAATACAAAGTAAAATGGACAAGCTGAAGTCAATTACAAAATAATATTATACACAAACAATAACTACGATACTTTAAAAATTAAAAAAATATAAATAACGAAAAGACAGATATTAACAATTTAAGTGTAATTTATTCTTATTTATTGGATTTGGACAATAAACCAAACCAAATTCATAATTTAAATAATACAGAGCTAATTTAATATAAAAATCACTCTTTGAACATTTAGAAAATATTAATGGTATGTAAACATAGCATTATCCACATTTATTTCCTAACCTCCAATAACTTGTTATTTATTTAAAATTTTACTTGTCATGTCAAATTTACCTTTCGTTATTTATATTTCGAGAATATAAAAAGTTGGGAGAGTCATAGTCAAGAACAAGTCACTACAGATACAGAAAGTACTCCAAAAGGGAAAGGCAGAGAGCAAGATCAATAAACAAAAGAACTCCAACAGACGAGGATAAATTAAGGAATGAAAATAACAAAAACAACAAGAATGTATTCAAAAACAATTAAAATGATCTAAGACGATTGTTAAAACAGTAAAAACGATATTCTGATATTGGACATGAATAGGATTACCGATCAAGAAAACTTACAAAAAATGTGGCAATTAGAAAAGAAAAATACGAAAGAAAAGGCAATAAAAAAGAATACACATACAGAATAGAAATAGAGGAACACAAAAAAAGGAAAAAATATAAAACGAGACGAAAGAAAAAATCAACAGACTAAAAGAAACGAAGCAAGCAAAAGAAAATATATAAGAAAACATAAACAAAGAAGATAATATATAAATTGTTAGAAGCTATGAAAAATATATAAGAATTATAATTGTACAGGACCAGAGGGAAAGAATAAAAGATCAAGAAATTATAGTAAAACAAATCGATGCCATGGACCTCTTAAGGGTTGTAGTGCATACACATTTTTAAAGCCAGTCTGGTTTTAAATTGGTCATACTTCATATTATGTTGATGCATTATATTAAGTAAAAAAAACATCTAAATAAACAAATTATGAGAAAAATACTGTAGTAAATTTTAAAAAGAGAAGAGAAAAATTATAATTTTCCAATTTATTCCAATATGAGGTAATGTATACTAAAAATATTAAAAAATACAGAAATACTTTGATTGTGATGCTTAAAAATTATTAGGTATTTTTAAATTACAACAATTTTTGCTAAACTAGTCCAAAGGAACACACAGTGAAATCATGCATTATGTGCTTTTTGATTTTTTTTAACATGCAATAGTATTCACGGGGATACATACTCTGTTTTCTTAGTTTTCGTTTTTTGAAATAGGCATGCTAAAAATGGGATTAATAATATTAGTCACTTTTAAGAAATAATAAAAAAAAAGAAGATAACAAGAAGACTAGATTGCTGTTTTTTCAAGTTATCTTCTTAATGATTTAAAAAGAATTTAGTAGTGGTTACAGAAAATGCAAAATTAGATTTATTATTAGTTTTAATTATTAATAATTGCAAACTTACATTTTCCCAAATAAAGTTTGCAGTTTCATCAATATATGATCCAACGTCTCTCATTTCGCCACTGTACCTGTAAAAAAATATCATTTAAAATTATTATAACGAGTTATAAGCTTTACACAAGGATATACTGTGGCATATGTCACCTTCATCAGTTATTAGCAGATAGTTAGATTTATTTGCCAATATGTATAGAAACATAAAATTTAAACCAATAGAGAATAGAAGAATAAAATAGTATTCATCAAAATCAACAGTACTGAAATTTAAAGGCTGCTAAATTCGTCTTGTAATATGCATTTGTCATATATGTGGCTTATTTTTCATTAGTTGTTTTTAAAAAATCTACAAAGACAAAATTAAATGAATTTCTAACAAAATTTTTGGTAGGCCGGCCCGGCTGCGAATTGGCATTGTTTACTATGCTACAACGCATTCGTGTTGTTGCAACGCGGTAAAGAATGACTGAACAGTCGCTCTCTATACCCAGACAAATCTTACTGTGACTCAGCACTAGCAGGTGTTCAGACGTAGTAACTATTGTATTATGGATACGCCTGCCATTCTCGAGGCATTATTTACCGCGTCGCAGTCGAAACCACGCAAATTTGCTTTCTTTTGTGATTTTATAGGACTATTTCATAAAAATATAATAAAATACTATCGTCAAAAATTGTTTATTAAACCACACTAAAATACAAATAACACAATAAATATAAAATCCACTAGTCCAAGCTTGAATGCGCTTTGCGCCGCATGATAAATCACATTTAATTTTCCGCGGCTAACTGATGTTGGCTGTACAGAAATGTTCCTTTTTAGTGCGTTATTTTTACTTTCCTATCTGTATACAGATATAAGGAAAGTATAGGAATCATGATTTTTTTAGACCTCGAGTTTTCGACGGATTTTTACGTTTTGAGGTCCCCTGAATCCGTTTTGACTATTTTCGCGATGATGTCTGTGTGTGTGTCTGTATGTCGCATAACTCATGAACCGATACACAGAAAAACACCAAATTTTAAACTTAAGCTTTATGCGCTAGTTCAGTGTGATGTCATTTTGGTTCCACTGACATTTAATTCTAACCAAACTTTTAACAAAAACATCAATAAATTTGACACATACGTTTTTACTGTTTTTAGTTTATTTCTAAATATTGTTTAGAGGTCATAAAAAATAGTTTAAAGGTATGTAATTGGTAACTAAACGATTGTATATTTGATACATCTACTTACTTTAGGAATATATTTATAAAAGTTAAAAAAAAAACGATATAATTTAGGTAAACAAAACTAACAAAACGCACTAAAAAAATCTACTGTCACTTTAATTGTCAGTGGAACCATAATTACATCATCACTGAACTAGCGCATTCCAGCGTCTAATGAACTGATTAGATTTTGGGCAGAGTCGGAACATCTGGGGGGGTACTTTATAGGTGGTCATTTTTATATTTTACGGAATATATCTGTTATTTACGTTTGCAGAAGAAAATTCTTCAAATAAAAGTTACTTCTAATATAATTATCTATAATTTTTGTTCTATACAAAATTTTCCTAAAATGGTCCGTATTCGAGAAATTTGACAAAATGTAAAAAAAATAATTTTTTATAAAAATTGTTCAAATAAAATTTTTATTTCGAATTTTGAAGAAAACTCAAAAACGGATAAAGAAAAAAACATTAAATTTTAAACTTAAGTTTTATTTCGGCCTAACGTGAAATGATTAGATTTTGGACAAAGTCGAAATATCTGGGGGGGGGGGGGGGGGGGTACTTTATGGGAGGCCGTTTTTATATTTTATGGAATATATCTGTTATTTATGTTTGGAGAAGAAATTTCTTCAAATAAAAGTTACTTCTAATATTATTATCTATAATTTTTGCATTATGTCAAAATTTCCTGAAATGGTCCGTATTCGAGAAATTTGACAAAATGTGCAAAATTCTGATTTTTATGAAAATTGTTCAACTAAAAATTGTTTGCGATATCGATCTCTATAATTTTTGTTTATACATGATTTTTCTAAAATTGACCGTAATGGAAAAGTGCTAAATTTAAATTTTTCAGTATTTTCATTTTTAATGAATATCTATAGAAAAATGTTTCGAGGTAGGTGTATGTGGACAATGTATATATTTAATTTATCCTCTAAACATTTATAGAGATGCTGCAATAGGTTGTACAAAATAACCGGAAAAAGCCTATAATAACTAGATAGGAAAGTCATGTGTTGGACACATCAGATTTTTTGATATATGAACAAAATTCAATAAGTTAGAACGCGGTAAACAATGCCTCGAGAATGGCAGCGTATCCATAATACAATTGCCGCGTTTGAGAATCCACATCGAATGCATCTGAGATGTAATAAATCTTTGATCACGTGATTCAGTATACGTAAATGTAATGGGACAGATGTGTGCGATGTGGATAAAAAAAACGCTCGAGATGTAAAAAATGCATCCGATGTGGATTCTCAAACGCGGCAAATAGTTACTGCGACTGAACACCTGCCAGTGCTGAGTCGCAGTAATATTTGTCTGGGTATAGAGAGGCGACTGTTCAGTCATTCTTTACCGCGTTGCAACAATATGTATGTGTTGCAGCATAGTAAACAATGCCAATACGCGCCCCGGCTTGCTTCCTTTGCCGCAAGACAAACGGGCAAGACATTATAGTATCGACAGAAGTTAGAAAGGTAGAGAGGGGATAAACGTCAAACCACGTCAGACGACTTCGAGAATTTCGCGGTAATGTTTATCTGCCAGTGTCGTTTCATAGAATAAGTAATTTAAAATTGTTACCGGCGGAATCGGACAATCTCATGTATTTATGGACTAAAAGAAATAATTATTAAACAAGTATTATAATATCGCAAATCATAATTCACAATTTATCAAACTATTTACCCGAAATTGTTTTTAACACCTATAAAATAATCTTTTACGCCAATGTATCGTGTCCACTTCGGTTAGCTCCTTCTCAAAACTGTCAATTTCTGCGAAAAGCCTTTCTAACTTCTGTCCCTGCTATACATCACTTCCGGTGCATGAGTTCATAACAAAATCACGCCACTTTTGTGTTGTTACTCAATCACTTCCTAAAGATAGCTTTATCGCACGCTAATATCTAATTGTTTTAAAACTAACTTAGAAAGAAATTCAGCTCAAACATTGATGAAATAAAATTTTCCATTTACATTCCTCATAAGATTGTTTAAAACCAAAGAGAGAAAGGAAGGCAGCGGCCAATACAAATAATGTCAACCATAGTATCAATATGCGTCATCTCTTTAGATTTAAAATTCAATTTCGCTCACAAAAAAGATCCCGTGGGGTCGATATTCTCGAATCAACTATTATCAAGTCAATACCTATATACACTTGCTGGTCTAGCCTTGTTTGGCTCATTGGGTTTTGTCCCTGCATTAGCCTGTAAATGTCGGACCTTGTATGAAGATGTGCAGTGATGTGAGGTTTAATAGTACCTCTATTTCTGCAGCTGATGTAGTATGCATGGCCCCTGTTGGCACTCAGACAGGCGAGTTGTTGAATGCCGGTGAGTTGGCCTATTGCACAGTTTTGGTAACCCACGCCACTGCACCATAGATTATCATGGGTCTTACCACCCTTGTGTGGGCTTAGGCTCCAGTTTTCCAGCATATTCTTTTACAGCTAACGAGAACTATAATGGGCCATGTTCACATGTGAGATATGCTGTTTTATAAACTATATTGTAATAGTTAGTCGCTATACAAGTTATTCTAAATAATAAGTTCGTTAAAAAAGCTAAAAGTTTTTAAATTAAGCCCAATTGAAATTTAAAATTTGAAATTATACGTCATCGGGAATAGACCAATCAGCTTGTGTCGAAGTTTTTTTTGTTATAGAAAACCAAGCCAACGAACAAACCTACATACAGAATGTCGAAGTGAACGCACATCTAAGTGACATTAAAAATTGACAGCACATAACAACTAACCTTAGTTTTTTGTTTTGGTTTAATTTTATTATTAATCTGAATTTATCTGGGTAAATTATCCTGTGGGATATAGGATATATAAAGGAAGAAGAATATGAATTTATCAGCTGTATTTATAAAAATTGAATCAAGTATTTTTCCCATTGTAAACGAAAATATGATTACCGAGATGATTTCTGCATTTTTTAACAATACTCAGTTTACAAAAGATAGAAAGGTAAAACTTTATTTATAAATTGTTTTAATGGTAGGTAGTTACAGTTTATATGAAGCAATACACTTTATAGTAAAACATATTTATCTCAGGTTTTATTTTTAGATCTGCCAAGCAAGAATATGGAGATATTTACTTTTTCCATAAGAGAGAAGGAGACAAATTACACCTAAACATAAAGTACAGCAAAAACCTTATGATGTGGCTGTTGTATTTAACAAAAATGAAATTTTTAGTGCACAATGCTTAGGATATGTTGAATCTCAAGGTTTGTAATATTTATTATGCTTTTTTGTTTTTATATCACATATAATAAACAGTGTATAAGGCCCTTTATTCCTATAAATATTTTTTTTTCTAATTTTGACATAAAGAGACATTTTTTGTAATCGCAGCAAGTGTTAAAATAATCTAGAAATAGATTTTGTTAGTGAACCTAGTAATAATTATGATACCAAAGAATGCTGCAGAACACCTATGAAATTTTGAGTTAAAACATGCCATATTTTTAGGCTATTTTTATACCCTTTTCAAAAATTTTATGCTCCTCGTTTTATGCAAAACTTAAAATGCTCTGATAGCTTCGAACGAAGTCAGCAAAGCACCTCTGTTTTATAAAGTTTTTTCTGTAAAAACAGCAACACCATATATTTATGCACTTGAAATATTATATTTTTAAAAAATACATGGTGCTTGCTAACCTTCGAAAGAAGCCAACAGAGCAATTCGGTTTTTTAAAGCTTTTTTCTAAAAACCACACCCAATTTTTAGACTCTTGAAATATTGTAAAACTTTACTAAAAAAATTGCTATTTTTAAATAATACAGGGTGCTTTGTTGGAACAAAGTCAGCAGGACACTTCAGTTTT